TGCCATCTAGGGGGTAAATGCCAGCTAACAAAAGTGGCATTGAAATTACCTAGACCATGGTTGCCACTGAATAAAGACGGGGGCTAAACTGAATAGTTGACCTATTAATATATTAGTCTTGATAAAATGTGATTAATGATAAAAGTACACCAGAAAAAGTTTCCTTCCTGTATGCTTATTTAGTGAACACAGTGACTGTTCTTTGGTGCACAGTTTCAGGGGTGCTGGCAGACCTCCAGAGAACTGAAGTTGTTCTTCATGAGTGAGCCCGGATAGTGTGTGTTGGCAGTCCAAGCGACTATGCAGAGCATAAGAGCTGAGCTCAATTCTGCTTTCACCTGTTGTACATTGTCATTAGTAGGACATTGCTGGCAAAGATTGGTTGCTGAGTTTGCCTACATTTCAATATTCTTTATTAAGTACAGGTTTATTGTACTTATTGATTGTTCATTTTATTATATATTTCCAGACCATCATTCATTTTTGTGTCATTTGATTAGGTTCTGCCTCCTCCCCTTGTGTCAAAGAAACAAGGAGTTTTTCTCGTAGATATCCTGACATATTCCCAATTCATCTAAACTTTATTTTCAAATTCAAATAATTTTGGCTACTCATTCTGGTTTATGGGACATTGCAGCCACAGATTCTCTGTTTCCTATGTAACAACACTCACTTCATTTGTAATCAATCTTATTTTGTGCATTGCTTCAAGACATTCATTTCATGTGAAAGGTTGTTTTTGCAAGTTGTTTTTGCCCTTGGGTTCCTTCTGTTAACCTGACTAACATCAGCTATCTCAGTACAGACCACAATTAAAACTACAGTGTTAACTTGTAAGGTATTTTTCAAATACAAATAAGATGTGTGGAGCTTTGGGCGATAAAGAGCACAGGCTGCAGAGTTGTGAATGAGATGAAGTTAAGTTTTGAACCTGAGCAATTCAGTAATGAAATCATGCAAGCTGGTATTTTTTAAGCATTTATTACTTGGAAGTACTTTGTATCAAAATACTCCCAGTGATATTCACCTTCATTCTAAAAACAGAAGTTTCTTTCACAAACATTAAACTAAAGTCTGTTAATATCAGTCTGTTCAGAGTATCTTTCTTGATAGCCACAAAAAAAAAATTCCCTATGTTTTGAAGGAGCTAAATAAAATAATAATTATTTTGATATGGCAAGTTCTTGTCAGCATGAATCATTTAAAGGTCCAAAACTTCATCCACTCTACTTACGATTTGAAGGACTACTGTGCTTTTGTCAAGAGGTTAGTGATTTGCCCTTCAATAATGAACATTATGTTTGTGGTTAAAGGACCAATTGTTATCTCACAAAAAGTACAGAACAGAACACAATTCAGAAAATCAAAATGTAACAATGGAACTTTTAAGACAAGAACTTCAATGTTGGAAAAAAGTTTAATACTTTATATGTGCTTGCTCTATTTTACAACCTATTTAAAATGAAATACTTTATTAATAGTCACACTGAATGTACAATTCAGATTTTCGTTATCCAAGTTAAACTCCAAGCCATTCGCCAACAGCTCAACCTCTTCCCAACCTATTTTAGTACCGTTGGATTATGTTCACAAGTTTTAATTTAAAAATAATACTCATGATTTTTATAAAATATTGATAATAATAATAATCCTTGCATTTGATATAGCACCTTATCACATCTTCGGGACGTCTCAAAGCACTTCACAGAATATACTGTGAAGTGAATTGACTGTATATTTTGTGGGCAAAGCGCGGCAGCCAATTGTGCATAATAATAATAATAATAATAGTACTGCATAGCAGTGTCCTACAAACAGTCGTGGATTGAGTGACCAAATTATTATTATTTGTTTTCTTTTTTTTTAAAAGGGATTATTACCCCCGGAAAAGCGATCTGCCAATCGACTAACAACCGGGTTCTCTTTACTGCTAGGTGAATAGAAGAGTGTGGAGTAAGGAAACTTGCCCAACGTTTCGCCCTGGCAGGAATCAAACCCAGGTCCTCTTGTTTGCGAGGTGAGTGCTCTAACCACTAAGCTACAGGACTGATGTGAGTTGTGTAAACCATGTGTAAACACTTCATTGATTTTTACTTACATTATATCTATTATAATTTTAAGGTGCCCATGTAATTCTTTTACATAGTATAACGATTTGTGTCACTTATTGCTAAGTGGCCTCTGTCACAATATTTCCCTGTCACAGCAGGCAATAACAACAATTTGCATCATACACTAGATTTTCTAGGCAACGGAATTTATTTCTAGATATGCTTGCTTGTATTGTATAGTGAGAGTGAAGTCAAGCAAAAACAACAGTGGGAAAATTATTAAGAACAAGTAGAACAACAAAAAGATTATAATAATAATAATAATAATCCTTGCATTTGATATAGCGCCTTTTACGTCGGGAGGACGTCCCAAGGCACTGGACAGTACAGCATTTCAGACGTGAGCTGGGGTCAGGGAGGAGAAAGGAGCGGAGGGGAAGAGGGGTGACCGATGGCATGGTCAAAGAGGAGGGTTTTGAAGGAGCTTTGAAGGAGCTATGAAGTTAACTGAGTGGGAAAGGAGCCTGAACTGATGTACAAGAGACATATAGGGAAGAGGACAGACTCGCTACAAACCTCTACAGTATATTAGTGAATAAAAACTAAAAATGTTTTTATTTATTGTGCATGTTGGAGCTTGAAAACCTAATACATCAGCTGGTTTGTAAATCCTAATGGAGTTATTGCCTTTTGGGGATGTCATTCACAAACATGGGGTACACTTCCACATGATTGCGGATGACACCCAACTCTATTTTTCCACCTCACTTTGCGACCCCCCCAGTCCTCTCATGTTCTGTCAGCCTGCCTGTCAGACATCAGGAGCTGGATGAGCGCAAATTATCTTCAGCTGAACATAAACAAGATGGAAGCCATACTCTTTGGCTCTCGTCAACGTCTAAAATCTCACGGTTCTCACCTCCTCCACCTACGCGACTTCCCCCTAAAACTCTCCGAACCCATAAGCAATCTAGGCGTCAGGTTCGACCCCCAATTATCCTTCCTCCCCCACATCCGGTCCCTCACCAGCACCGCATTCTTCCACCTCTGACGCATTGCCCGTCTCTGCCAATACCTCTCTCTGAAAGCCGCTGAAATCCTGGTCCATCCCTTTGTCACCTCTCAGCTGGACTACTCTAACGCCCTCCTCGCCGGCCTCCCCTCCACTACCATCCATAAAATCCAGATTATTCAAAACTGCCGTCCACATTCTCACCCGCACCAAACTCCGCTCCCCGATTACCCCATTCCTTGCCAGACTCACTCTTGTCTTCAAATCCCTCTACTCCTCTGCACCCCCTATCTCTCTGACCTCCTCTCTCCTCAAAACAGTGCTCGTTGCCTTCGCTCCTCCGGGTCTGGCCTCCTCCTCGTCCCCCGAGTCCTCAGCTCCACCCTCAGCAGCCGTGCCTTCAGCCACTATGCCTCGAAGCTCTGCAACTCCCTTCCTCACTCGCTTCACCTCGGCCCCTCTCTTCCTATTTTCAGGTCTCTGCTGAAGACCTTTCTTTTCGACTGCGCTTTGGTCACCTTCCTCCCCCTCCCCCTGGCTCGGCCCCGGGATCCGTTACTGCTCTGAGATACCATCCGCCGTGGAGGGCGCGATATAAATCCAAGTTGTTGTTGTTGTTTGGGCACCAAACACTTAATATAATCTCTTGTGCTTCTCATTTGGCTGATACTCCAGCGCAGTGCTGGGGGAGTGCCTCATCGTCAGAGATGTCACCTTTCAGATGAGACATTAAACCAAGATTCTGTCTGCATGTTCAGATGAATCTCAAATAACCCATGGCACCATGACACTATTCCTGGTGTTCTGGTCAACAATTCCCCAGATAAGATTGATCATTCATTTCATGGCTGTTGTGGGCCACTGATGTGTGTAAATTGGCTGTTGTATTTACCTACAAATGAACAGTCAGTCCACTTCACAGTAAAATCAACAAAAACAACTTGGATTTATATAGCGTCCTCCACGCCGGACGTCGTCTCAGAGTGCTTCACAGTAACGGATCCCGGAGCATTGTAGGTTAGAATATATATTATATTGCAGGGACAGACGTGCAGCTGTTTTTTTACACACACACACACAAATCCAGTGAAACACTTTGAGATGTTTTGATGATGTGATAAAGCATTATATCAAATGCAAGGATTATTCACCAAATGACTATTAAGTTCCCTCTTGCCATACAATTAGAACAGCTTGTTTATCCTTATATTCAAATGGCTTGCCAAAGTTTAATTAGCTTTGCAAATAAAATTTGGAATCGACTGGAATTCTTTATCGCACTGGATTCCGTTTGGGTCAGTATTTAAGTACTTTACTCCCTCATCAGTCTCTGCTTTCAGGAGCGGTGGATAAGTGAAGAAATTTGGAAGAAAGAAAAAATAATATCAAGCTATAAAACGCGTCACCTTGGGTTTATTATCCCACTGGAGGGCGCAAGTAATGCAGTTTCCAACCGTGAAGAGGAAGCGTCTGATTTTTTTAGGGGCGTTTAGAAAAAAAAACAGTCCATGCGTTAGATTGCATTTGTGTGAATTATTTCACTTTTCGTTAAAAAAAAACCCAAAGATATTTTGTGATCCGCAGAATCCACTCGTAACAGAGACGAAACAGGAGGTTCTGCAGGTTTTACTGTACAGGAAATCATCCATTTGTCCCAACGATGATGTCATGGTTTGGCTGCTTTTAACTATTGCAAATAAAATCGAAATATAGGATCGGATGGGACGTGTGCATTGTAGGTTAGAAGATATATTACATTGCAGCGACAGACGTGCAGCTGCTGGTTTTTTTGTTAGACACAGACACACACACACACACACTTGATGCAAAGTAACAAAGCCCTGGGATTGGGTCAGTTTTGCAGCCACTGTAACTGGTTTGTGCTGTGTGTGTATGTATGTGTGTGTGTGTGTGTGTGTGTTGGTGGTGGTGGTGGTGATCCTGGTAAGTGATGTCATCTGCCGGAAGATGAAGGCCAACAAGCAGTGCAGGTTGTGAGTTGTTACAGAGAAGCAATTTGGCATCGTGCCACACACACACACACACACAGAGAGAGAAGGAAAAACTAGACCTGCAGGATTACCAACCCCCCTCGTCATCGTTTTGCATGGGAAAAGGATCGACCGCAGCCACGACAGCCTCAACCCAAATGTGACACCCTCTCACTCACAGATCCAGGGGACTGATCCCCCGATGCTGGAACCAGTTTCTCCTCTGCTGGTTTGCATCGGCTAAATGTTGGGATCCCTGCAGCCATGACTTCAGCCGAACAGACCGTTACATGGCTCATAACTCTGGGTGTGTTGGAATCGCCTAAAAAGACCATCTCAGACCCTGAAGGATTTTTACAGTCTTCCCTCAAAGATGGGGTCGTTCTCTGCAAGCTCCTGGACCGCTTGCTTCCTGGTTCCATAGAGAAAGTGAGTCAGATTTCCTTCTCCCCACCCCCCCCCCCACACACACACACCTCTTTATTCTTCATGTCTCTCCCATCTGTAATGCTCAGCACCATAGAGAAACCACAGGTTTGAACAGGCGATCGGCTGTTGTGAGTGTGAGTGTGTGAGTGAGTGAGTGAGTGTGTGCATTCAAAAACAACAACCCACTGATACGGGAGCAGACCCCGTGTTTGGTTTTCAGGGGTTATGAGATCCCCGAGTGATCGCCATTACCCAGGGTTTGTGCTCAGTGTGATAGGCACAGGCTGCTCGCTGGGGCTTTGCTCATCACAGCAAACAGGGGAGGGAGGGGGAGTGTGGGCATCATCGTGCGTTGGCCATTTGCTTGGGAAGCAACACAGCCGGAGCAGCCCTTTCTATTTCCAGAACCCCCTCTGATCTTTTTACTGATCGCTTTTGTGCACAAGGGGTTTGAATTCATGACAACCAGTGCTGAGGGTCGCGCAGTGCCACTGTGTTGAAACGCTCTTCACAGAGAGAGACAGACAGAGACAGAGGCGATAGCTCTGTTGTGACCGTACCCAGTGCCCATGCCATGAAATCCCAGTGAAGCCCGTGTGCTGGAGCAGTCCAGGGCGCCAGGAATAGGAAAATAACAGCGCATATCAAGTGTCCAAGGAGGCGATCCTTTTTAAACAGGGATTATGTTTATTCCTGGTGGATAGTGAGGTTGTGGCAGAGAGCGCTGAGCAACATCCCTCCCGCTTTGTATTGATCAGCAGTGCTGGTGAATGTTGCTGTGTTAGATCATTATTTGGGGAGGACACGTTTTGGGGAGGGCTATGGGGAGAGAGCAGGGGGTGGGGGGGGGGGGGGGGGTGGGGAGTGGGGTTGAATTGCACAGCTCTTTACAAAGAGCAGGCACAGACATGATGGGACGAATGGCCTCCTTCTGTGCTGCATAATTCTATGATCAACAGCAATGCAAGATCTTAAATAGCCTTGAAGCAAACCCCCACTCACCAAGTGGCTTTCAGTCTCCACATGTTGAACCAATACCCTGATGTTTTGTGTTGCCAACTGATCAGCCATGAAGTATTATGCATGCGACGATTTTATATGTAATATTTTGCTGACAATTATTTTGCCAATCTTGTCCTGGGGATTCCATTTTATGTTTCCACGGTGGGTGAGGTTCCTCATCATACAGGTATCAGCTCAGCTCTTTTTGGGAGATGGACGCTACAAGGAACAAACACATCAGATAAACTTAAACAAATTAAGATGTTACAAATAATTAGGATTGAAGATCCTTTTGATGTCTTCTGCCCATTTCAGTAGTTTTTTTCTGAATAATTGTTTCTACTGCTATGATTCGCCCACAAAATGTACAGTCATTCCACTTTATAGTATATTCTGTGAAGCGCTTTGAGACGTATCGAAGATGTGATAAGGTGCTATATCAAATGCAAGGATTATTATTATTTAGAAGCTTTTGGTTTGTAAGGATAACTGAGCCAGACAGAATGGGTATACTAATTAATACTGTGCTGCTAAATCATCTTGTGATTCATGAATATTCCTCAACTGATAACTATTAGGGCCCCTTTGAATATTTACATTGATATAAATAATTATGATCCAACATCTATTTGTTCCATTTATTTCTGGGTTTTTTTAAGGATTTGTTTTGCAAACACGTGCTGCTGATTGCATATTTGGGAGTTGACCTTAGCAGCATTGCAGAGCTAAACAGGGCGAAGATAGATTTAGGAATTCTTTCAAGTCAGTGTGTCAGCTTGGTTCAGTGATAACACGCTCACCTCTGAGTCAGAAGATTGTGGGTTCAAACCCCACATTGGGACTTGTAATCTTGTAGTCTAAGATGACACTCCAATTGATCACTCACTCAATGACTGTGTGTAGGATTGCTGTGGGCAACCTAGCTGCCATATTTTGGTCACAAAATACATATTTTTATACTGAGCAATATGTGACATAAATCCTGTTGACATTGCTTCAAATCTCTACAGTGGTGTGCTGGTGGTGTCCATAGTACCCGTTGCTATGTTCCTCTATCGGTGTAATCATTCTCAATGTAATGTGGGCAGTTTGCTGGTCAAATGTATAACTTCCTTTTTTCTGTGTATGTTGTCTAAACAGGGCGAAACCTTGGGCAAGTTTCCTTACTCCACACGACTAATAATAATCCCTCCAAAACAAAAAACAATAATAAATTGGTCATTTTCAATCCATGACTGTTTGTGTGACACTGCTGTGCGCAATTGGCTGCTGTGTTTCGCCCACAAATATACGGTCAATTCACTTTACAGTATATTCTGTGAAGCACTTTGAGATGTCTAGAAGACCTGAAAAGCGCTATATCAAATGCAAGGATTATTATTATTATTAGTCACCCCATTTTACAGTATATCCTGTGAAGTGCATTGAGATGTCTCGATGACATGATAAAGTGCTGGATCAAATCCAAAGATTATCATTGTTATAACAATAACAACGACTTGCATTTATATAGCACCCTTCACATGGGGTAGTGTCCTGGAGCTCTTGAGCCCTATAAACAAAATATACTTAAAACATTGATAGAAATTTGCAAAGAGAAGTTTACGCTTATGTTTAATCTTTAACAGGAGTTCTGGTGGTGGTTTTGTTTACACAGAATGCATTATATTGAAATAAAAAATGTAATAATATTTGATAGTTATGACATTTAATTGGTTCATGTTTAATATGTTTTGTAAGAAATTGTATCTGAGTTTTAATTATTCCTTTTTTGCTTGAGCAATTGAATACAATCTGTCTCATTGAGGGCTACCAATAAAAGTATTAGCTTGTCTCTCAGAGCAGGTTTAATGTTGACTGAGTTAACAGCACATGAAAAGGAAGGCACAAAGGGAAATTACTTCTTGATTTCTCCCAATTTATACCATTTATCCACAATATAAGGTTAATGAAAATTTTCATTAATGGAACTGATAATAACATGTGCAACTACTGATGTTAAATCAACTTTCACCCTGATGGTTAACACTACTGCTAGTTGTTTGAATACTGTTCCAACATTTTACTAAATATGCAAAAGATAACATTTGAATGTTAAAATTCAAAGTGCTCAGCAATCTGATAATACTCTGTTCTCTTCCTTAGATTAGATTCTCTCTTTTTAAGACACACAGTATTCTCCACTCTCCTATTCTTGAGCCACCACGTTCCTTATTTGGCAACTCATGGGGTTTTTCTTAATACTGCTCAGAAGTTGGAAAGTATGTGAACTCCATTTAGCTATCCTGAAGTGGCAAAGCTGAGATGGACAACTTAATGTACAGAGCATTGTGATTGTTACAATGTGGCACAGCTCTGTGGCTACAATAACTTGACTCAGTTGGTCTAATTCTCGCTACTGAAGAAAGTTATCCGTTGAACACTACTACAGGATTTTGAGCTAATAGCAAAGGCTGACATTCCAGTGTAGTTCTGGAGATGTGATGCATTGTCAAAACTGCCGTCCTTCAGATATAATAATCCTTGCATTTGAGGTATTAAATTTGCAGATGAGGTATTAAATCAAGGTCTTATTTGCCTCTTCAGGTAAACCGACTGCAAGATTCCTTGACATTATTTGAAAAAAAGAAGGGAGGTTCTCTTGGTGCCCTGGCTAACAATTCCCCAGATAAAAAAAAGTCATTAATTTCATGACTGAGTATGGTTCATTGCTGTGTGCAAATCGGCTGTCACGATTGCCTACAAATATAGTCCCTACACTTTGCAGAAAATCTCTATGAAGCTCTTTGAGATGTTTTGATGCGATAAGGTGCTATATTAAATGCAAAGAGTATTATTTTTTTCAAACAAACATTGAGAAGGGTTTGTTATAGACATAAGATTTCATACAGTGCTATTTCCTAGCTGCAGCAATTAAAATATAAGAAAAACAAAGGTGTAGCTTCCTTAATAGAAAATAAAGTAAAAGCTTCAGGCCGAGATAGTAAAGGGAATTTAATATTTCATCCCATTAAGAGGGTTTTAAAGATTGCAGGCTTGATAGCACATCCAAATGTCTTATAATCTTTATTAAATTTAAGTAATAAAATAAAACATATTTATATATTAGCCTTAATACAATAACAACAACAATATTAAACTAAAGGAGGAGAGGTACTTATCAATGCCAGCCCAGCCCTGTGAAAGAGCTCTTGCCTCTGAGTCAGTTTGTGAATTTAAGCTCCATATCAAAACTTGGAATCACATTGTCTAAGCTCACACTCCAATGAAGTCCTGGAGGTGTGTTTCTTTGTCGGAGGTGCTATCCTTTGGATGAGACGTTAAACTGAAATTCTGTCTGCATGTTCAGCTGGACATTAAAGATCCTATGGCACTATTCCAAATAGAGGAGCCAACAAATCTGGCCAACAATTTCCCCAAATAAAATTGATCATTAACTCCACGGCTCTTTGCAGGACATTACTTTACATAAATTGCCTGTCTTACTTCAACAAAAAAATACAGTCAAGCCACAGTATATTCTGTGAAGGGCTTTGAGACATCTCAACAGAGTGATCAAGCGCTACCTAAAATGCAAGGATTATTACTGTTATTAGTATTATTATTATATCGTTACACCAGATATGTGGCACTTTCCTGTCTGCTTAACCACACGTGAGCTATGATCCTGAAAGCAAAGTCTGCAAAGTTTTGCACGGTTAATATTTAAAAGGGCTAGCTATTATTGTAGGGGAGATCTGGGAGAGTGAAAGGTTGAACTGCATGGTATTATAGTGACAGTGGAAGAAGTTTTTGGTCAACATCTTATTTCATGTGATTTGATACCTGCACTATTTTCTTACCCACAATTAAACTGATCCCAATTAGTGGACAAGTTCCAATTAGGATCTTTCTGTACTCCAGGTGGGTCAGCAAAAGATGATTCAATATATATCTGCAGATTACAATTTATTTGAGTATTAATTTGTCACATATGGAGATTTGTCACTTCTGGAAATAAAAATGACATCTTGTGCTTTTTTAGAACATAATCTACATGGCATTTTAGGGAATAGTAGACCAACAGTCCATCCATTGTACAATGGGTACAATGGTACCCATTGTACCAAAATGCATAACATGAAAGGATAAAATATAGTTTCAATATTTTCCATTCAGTGACAATAGCAAGTAATATTATCAAAGGAAACATGTAGATGAGAAAGAGAGGACCAAGGTTACAACTCTGAGGAATGCCAGAAGCAACTGTGGGGAGAAGCTGTATGGTGAGACATAGTGAACACATTGGGGCAGGTGGGAGTCAAATCAGGAAGGTGGAGTCACACAGAAAGTGGAAATGAGAGAAAATAAGTGAAGATACTTGGTGCAGATTAAAAGAATACAGCAGTTCTGGATTTCCTCTCCCATTTATTTCAATTTGGATCTCAATTCCAGAATGACCAGTTACACTTAATAGCAAGCATTCCTTCCATTTCAACAGACATATTCCGGTTGTCAAAACGTAGCATGATCTAATTGAGAACTCCAGATACTCTCCGCTGTGTTGTAGTTTTTAGAAGTTACAATGTCTTGCTCTGTAAGTCACATAGAAACCCACAGGTAGTAACAATTTCAGTTAGTAGACCATCTGTCGACCTAGTTTACCAGCCTGATTTTCCAAAAGATTCCTTAAATTCCTTATCCAAAAGATTCCTTATCACTAAATCCAATACCCTTTAATCGTGTTTTATTTGACAAGAACTTGTCCAGTTTTCAAACACTGTGTACTTTATTTCCACAACAGTGCAAATGGTGTAGGCAAATGTGGCAGACAATTTGTACACAGCAATGTCCCACAAATAGCTAGGTTATCTGAAGGAATATTTGCCAGGACACCTTCTCTAAAATGCAACATGGTCTTGCTCCACATGTATCCAATAAGAATAATGATACTAAGCTGACAGCATAGTTTTTGAGTGACATTAGTGGGCTCAGAGTGGGCATAACAAAGCATTATCGATTTTTATACTTGTTTTAGTTCAGGAGTTATAATGAACCAAATAATGAAAAGATGGCCACAGGGTGAAAGTTCTAATTATTAATATTCCATCTTTTGGTTCAATAAAAGACTTCACAATAATAATTTATTACTACTTTCAACTTTAGTTTTGAATGTAATTTTCATACTATGAAGATAAACTAATGACCCACAAATTACAAACATAATTGCAAGTATGTTGCTGATATTGGGCGTTATTGGGCAATACACTGCCTCATAGTCTGAAAACAGCAAACCAATATTTGTTTCTTACTTTGTTGGATATAAATATGATTTAAAAGTTAGATAATATTTCACCCATTTTAGGAAGATCCAGAAACGTCATCAAAGGGCAAATAGATAGATCGCTTTGAGAAGTCTTAGTTGAAAACAGTTGCAGTGAAACAGAAACATTGTTGCATCACAAACCCAGTTTATGCTGAAAATGGAGATGTTTGCTGAAACTTTAAGGCGTTCACCAAAAGACACCAAGTTAAACCGGTTATAGATTTTTCTAATTTTTGCTGTTATCTTGCTACCAGCAACTTTGATGCTGTGTGCTTCATATCAGGAATTTTCTATTATTAATTCACCTTGTCAAAGCCCCTATGGTTATTAGCAAGAGAATTTCTCTTCACAGTATCTCTTCAGTGAAACAGGTTACTTGATTGGAGAAACTGAATGCTCAGACTATCATTCAAGGGGCCATAGGTAAAGTGGAGAATTAGTATAATAAACATAATAGAAAATAAATGTTTTCAAATATGCTGTTGGTGGTTGTTGAGACAGAATCCATGTTGTTATCACTTCACTTCAACACTTGTGGTTTTACTGTACTTAAGTGCCTAACTATATGTATGTATGTATGTGTGTGTGTGTGCATGTGTGTATGTATGTATGTAACAAGAAGTAATGTAACAGTTTGGAGCACATTTACAGACATTGCTGACACGTTGGGGGGGGGGGGGGGGAGGCGGAGAGGATCATAAACATGGTTGAAGAGGTAGTTTTTTAGGCAACGTTTGCTGATGGATGAGGGGGTGAAATGGTTTATCTAAAACTTAAGCAGGCTCTCTTGTGGTTAGCAGCAAGAAGACATTGTAGGAGTGGTTAAGATAAGAAATGTCTTTGGAGTGGATGATTGGGGAGAAAATGAAAAAAAACAGTCCCAATTGCATTTATTTACACAAAAAACATTCCTTGACGACTAAAATTAATTAAGTGCATTTTATTTCCTCTGAATCTCTGTGACATATTTGGATATATACATCAAATAGTGTGTGTGTGTGTATTTTAATTCAAAAGTTGTGTAACTTAAGTCTGCTATCATCTTTCTACAGAGTAAAAACTGATATGTTAATAACTAGTCCACCTAGTGCAGTGACACTGGAAGGTATAGTGACCTACTTCAATGGAAAAATCAAGAGTAAAGCCAATACGTTTCTAATTGGCATTTTAGTGTGTGAGCTGACTTCAGGCTACTCAGTGTGACAGAGTTGGGAAGACAAACCCGTGGGCCAGTTAATTATCCGATAATTAATACTCACTCACGCTGACCATACTGACATGGCTGCTCCCTTCGTTCAATGGGCACCAACATGCCCCACCATTGGAGTTGGGCTTTCAGCCTATCTGCCTCCACTCTCTGGAACTCCATCCTGGAGTCCCTCCAACTTGTTTCCTCCCTCACCTTCTCCCTGATCCATTTCAAGACCTACCTCCTTGACTGTGTGTTGGCACCTTTCGCCTCCTCACCCCTTCGGCTGCTACCTCCAGCTTGCCTGTTAAGCGTTTTGGGATGTTAATAATAATAATCCTTGCATTTGATATAGCGCTTTTCACGTCTTCTCGACGTCTCAAAGCGCTTCACAGAATAGACTGTAAAGTGAGTTGACCGTATATTTGTGGGCGAAACGTGGCAGCCAAATGCGCACAGCAGTGTCCTCCGAACAGTCGTGGATTGAAAATGACCGATTTATTATTGTTTTGGAGGAATTATTCACGTTATCCTAACATGAAAAGCGCAATATAAATGGAAATGTGTGCTATATTGTACATGTGCATGTGTTTTTGTGCTGCCTGGTCTGAACTGAAGTGTGGTCATAATCTTGTTTTTATGTTCATTGCTCTCAATGTGCGTTTAAGTATAGGCATCCGCTCTGAGCCGAGTCATGTGTATGAAACCTTCGCTCCTACAATATGGGCAATCTGAGCATCTTGTTCCTTTTGAAATAATAATAATAAATGTACAGAATCACAGGATTTACAGCGTTGGAGCAGGCCATTCCGCCAGCGCACCAAGCCTCTGCTGGTGCTCACTCACCCACTCTAGCTAACTGCGCCTCTCCCGTCCTTGCAGATCCCCCCCCCCCCACCAATCTCCCTGCTGGCAACCCTCTCCCTCCTGGCACCCCCCACCGCCCTTTCCCTCCTGGCACCCCCCCGCCCTCTCCCTCCTGGCACCCCCACCGCCCTCTCCCTCACCCCCCTCCTGGCACCCCCCACCGCCCTCTCCCTCCTGGCACCCCCCACCGCCCTCTCCCTCCTGGCACCCCCACCGCCCTCTCCCTACTGGCACCCCCCACCGCCCTCTCCCTCCTGGCACCCCCCACCGCCCTCTCCTCCTGGCACCCCCCACCGCCCTCTCCCTCCTGGCACCCCCACCGCCCTCTCCCTCCTGGCACCCCCCACCGCCCTCTCCCTCCTGGCACCCCCACCGCCCTCTCCCTCCTGGCACCCCCCACCGCCCTCTCCCTCCTGGCACCCCCCACCGCCCTCTCCCTCCTGGCACCCCCCACCGCCCTCTCCCTCCTGGCACCCCCACCGCCCTCTCCCTACTGGCACCCCCCACCGCCCTCTCCCTCCTGGCACCCCCACCGCCCTCTCCCCCTGGCACCCCCCACCGCCCTCTCCCTCCTGGCAACCCCCTGCCCTCCCCCTCCTGGCACCCCCCACCGCCCTCTCCCTCCTGGCACCCCCCGCCCTCTCCCTCCTGGCACCCCCCACCGCCCTCTCCCTCCTGGCAACCCCCTGCCCTCCCCCTGGTTCCCCCCATCCTTGCTGGTTTCCCCCCTGCCCTCTCCCTGCTGGCCGCCCCCACCTCCCTGCTGGTTACCCTCTGGTTCCTCCCCCCTGCTGCCCCCCCCCTGCTGCCCCCCTCCCTGCTGCCCCTCCCCCTGCTGCCGCCCCCGCTGCCCCCCCCGCCGGTCTTTGCTGACTCCCTGGTCAGCCCTGGGTCAGGCTGATGTAATTTCCGGCGGCGGCTCCTCCCGGTGCGAGTCGCCTTTTACCCGATCCGCATCCCGGGACTGGACTCGCGGCTGTGCCGCCGCCGCCGCCGCTGTGGCTGCGTTTGCGGGACCGGCAGTAAAAGTTTGTGAATGTCGGTGTGTCTCTCCGCAGATCTACCAGGAGCCCAAGTGCGAGGCTGAGTGTCTGAGCAACATCAGGGAGTTTGTGAGGGGCTGCGGGAGCCTGAGGGTGGAGGTGAGTGGCTGCACTCCTTCACACACACACACACACACACACAGCGAAGTGACTGCGGGTCCCCCCCTCCCTCCCTCCCTCCCTCCGCTGTCGGGGTGCGATCTCTGTGCATTCACGCAAACCCGAGTGTGTTCACCAGCAACGAGGGAGAGGGAGAGGGAGGGTTGAGCTGCTGGAGGATACAGTGTAGCAGCTCAGGCCTGGAGAAGGACACCCCCCCACCCCCCCCCCACTCCCACCCTCCTCTCCCACCCTCACCCTCCTCTCCCACCCTCACCCTCCTCCCCCCCCCCCCACTCCCACCCTCCTCCACCTCTCTCCAGCGCCGCTCTCGAGCTGTGAAATGCTTCTTCCCACTACTCCTGAGATCCGACTGTCAGGAGGGCTCTGCGCCCCCGTGTTCGTGTTTAACAGCCGCGGGGAAGTCCACTGGTTTCCTTCGTGTTCGCTATGTGGTTGGCATCTCCAGCGTCCCATCTCTTGCACGTCTGTCAGGTCCTCTCCGAGATGCCGCTTCAAAAGACTTACTATGAATCCTAACTTGTCCAGTCCTTCTATTCATAGCTCACCCCTCTGCACACTGGGCATGAACCCCGTTGCTCCTCTCCTGTGCAGTGTTTCTCAGGTTGGGGTGGGTGCTGGTGCTGGTGCTTCTTCCTGACTTGGAAAGCTCGATGTAAATTTGTTTTGTGCAGTATTTTCAGGGGTAGCAGAACCAACGAATTGTGCAGTTTCGGCCTGACTTCTAGGGGTTCTGAACTTAACTGATTTGGTAATGTGTTCCGGCATCCTATTTGTATTTGTTTATTGCCGCCTCGCACTGTTTGGATACGGTGAATGTTGAATTAACAAACACGATTAGCTCTTAAGAGTGTCAGTATAGCTCAATTGGCGGGACTCTCGCCTCCCTGAGTTCAGAAGTCCCCATGAGGTTGAAGTCCCCATCTATGCTGACGCTCGAGTGTTGTGCTGGGGGCCTGATGCAGTCCAGGTGAATGTTTTAAAGATCCCAAAGCACTGTTGGAAAAGAGAAGGGAGTTTTCCCCGGTATCCTGGCCAGCAATCCCCCAAATAAAATTGGTTATTCACTCCTTGGCTGTCTGTGAGACATTACTGGAGTCCTGTAGCTCAGTGGTTAGAGCACTCGCTTTGCAAGCGAGAGACCTGAGTTCAATTCCAGGCAGAGGGCGAAACCTTGGGCAAGTTTCCTTACACCACACACCTAATAATAATCCCTCCAAAACCAAAAACAATAATAAATTGGTCATTTTCAATCTACGACTGTTTGTGGGACATTGCTGTGCGCAATTGGCTGCCGCGTTCGTCCACAAATATACAGTCAATTCACTTTACAGTGTGTTCTGTGAAGCGCTTTGGGACGTCCTCCCGACGTGAAAAGCGCTATATCAAATGCAAGGATTATTATTATTATTATTACTGTGTGCAAACTGGCAGCCACATTTGCCCTTAAAATGCGCTCAGTCACATGACTTTACAGTTTCGACAACATGATAAAGTGCTGTATCAAATGCAAGTATTATTACTATTTAAAATTGCAAGTTTTCCTTAGTCTAGACAATACAATATTGTATTTGTACAGTGCTTTTCATGTTGGGAGTACGTCCCAAGGTGCTGATACTAATCAAGGAATACACATACTTTCTATTATGCATCCTATTTTTACTTGCTACATTCAGTGTCTTGCGTTGAAATGTATTGAAGTTTATTTTCTCATGTTCAGCCTAGGTGCACACCCTATCTAGTTATCCTTATAAGAAACAAAAACAGAAGTCGCTGGGAACACTCAGCAAGTCAGGCAGAATCTATTGAGAAAGGAAAGTGAGTCAACGTTTTAATTCCACGTTAGAACAGGTCTTCCGATTTCCAGCATTTGCAGTATTTTGCGTTTTATCCTTGTAAGATCTTGGCTGCAAGCCCTGATTTTACAATTTCTGCAAGCTTGGTGTTCTTTGGAAATTTAATGACCTGATAATTCCAGGTAATTTATGCCTATTAGGAACAGGAGGAATCCCAGCATGAACCCCTCCTAGATCATCCGGAATTGGAGGTGTGACTAAATTTGATCTTGCCTATGAACTGCGAGCTTGATCTATTCTGGCCATTTGGTTGAATATTAACTACATTTCATCCTGAAACATGTAGTTTGTACTAAGATCAGCTCAGCATTCTTCACACTTAAGAAATGTATACTAGTGCCAGGGAGTCCTGTAGCTCAGTGGTTAGAGCACTTGCAAGTGAGAGACCTGGGTGCGATTCCCGGCAGTGCGAAACCTTGGGCAAGTTTCCTTACTCCACACCTGATAATAATCCCTCAAGAAAAATATATAAATAAAATTGGTCACTTTAATCAACGACTGTTTGTGAGACACTGCTGTGCGCAATTGGCTGCCGCGTTTCGCCCACAAATATACAGTCAATTCACTTTACAGAATATTCTGTAAAAGCACTTTGAGACGTCTAGAAGATATGAAAAGTGCTATATCAAGTGCAAGGATTATTATTATTATATTGGCCTGGGCAACAATGTAGCAACAATTTGTTTGTTGCTGTAATTCAATTTGTTGTGGTAGTTTTTGTTTGTTATTGTTGGTTTTGGTAGTTTATTGTTGTAGTAGCAGTTCTTTCTAGAAGATATTGTAAGGTGCGATACCAAATATAAGGATTGTTATTATTTACAAATGGAAGTTTTTCAGGTTGGGAAGAAATTACAAGCATGGGGCTAATGTTGGTCTTGATACTTTGAATAAATATAAATGACCTGAAGGGTAGAATAGAAAGGAGAATTCTCAAGTTTGCTGAAGGCAAAATAGATAAAATGCAGTCAGATTTACTTCTGAAAGACAGGTGATATATTAAGCAATGTGGAGTGTTGTACAATACCCCAATCAGGAAAAGTATGGTGGATAAATCAATGAAACAGTGAGTCCAATGTTTTCCAGGTTATAATTGATGTTACATAGGTATTGATCAGATTGAATACTGAAGTTTATCTTGGTATTTCTCATTGGAAATTCTACGAATCCTGTTGCAAGAGTTAGAACAAGGGTATCCAAGCATTTTCTCTTAGTGGGCCACTTAGTTGCTTTCTTAAAGGAGTCCCATGAGTCAATATATATACAATTGTAATACAAAACACTGAATGTGGATTCCAAGCTCATTCTTTGTCTGGCTCAAGTTTGAACCATTTGAATTATTTTACTGAGATACATCTGAAAAATAACATCACTTCAATGATTGAACCTAGCTGTGAGCCCTTTCATGTTTAAAATAACGCTGAATATCCAGCAGCAAAAGTGCGGCAATATCAATTTAGTAATTTAAAGTAACGGTTTATAAAATGAGATTCTATATTAACAAATCGATGCTTTTGAATTTATCAGATTTAATCCGCCTTAGTAAGCGCTTTTCAAAAAAGTGTTTATTTTGGGCAGGATTGTATTACACTTTCAAAATCTTATTTAAATAAAGTGCTCACTCTGTGTTCAATTCACTTGCCTTCCATTGTTTATAAGACATACAGTAACAATGATTAAAAAGATATCAGGTTCCATCAAAACTGAGCACAGCGTGAGTGAAAAAGAAAGCTCTTCCCATTGATGAATTATGCAAATGAAACGATTGAACATATATTTAATCCTTCGATCATTGGCAGATCCTGGGAAATTAAGGCTTCCCTTGGCTGGCCGTTTGGAAATGTCAATTTAAAAGATAATAAAATGCACCAATGTTATAGCATTAAAGTGATTGATATCAGGAGCAGCTTTATTGACTTTATGAAGTAAAGCAATTCTAAGTTTTTAACCTTATTTTTCTCAGTGTTCCCTCCCCTTCCCCCAATTTATTTTTTCCAGTAATAATTCTTGCTTTTGTTAATGTGCCTTGGTACATCAAAAGTTTCTTCAGAGTGTATTTTTTCTTTAAAGTTTAGTAACTTGCCCGCTAACAGTTCTGAAATGAATGACCAATTTTTCATCTGGAAATTGTTGGCCATGTCACTGGGAGAAACACCCTTCTCTTTTTGAATTGTGTGATGGGATCTTTAATGTCCAACAAATACACAGTCAATTCACTTTACAGTACATTCTGTGAAGCGCTTTGAGATGTCTGGAAGACGTGATAAGACGCTATATCAAATGCAAGGATTATTATTATTATCTAAAGAGGCAAACGGATCTCAGTTTAACATCTCACCTGAAGATGAGTTTTGAAAGCACCTTCACCATGCTTCCCCTGTGTTTAATTGGATTATTAGACAAGTCAATGATATCCAAGGCTATTTGGGGCTTGAGCCCACAACTTACTGGCTTGGAGGCAAGTGTATTACCAATGGAGCCAGGCTAATGCCAAAACTATTTTTTCTCTCTTTCTAATTTTATTACTACTTTACTTTTTCTCATAGAGGAAGTGATTATATTGAATTTCAGTGCCTCCAGATCCCGCTGAATTGCTGTTTTAAAAGAAAGTTTGCCAACTGGAATTGAATGGTTTGTTAATTCAGAATGGGTTTGGACCTGTATTTCTAGCAGCATTCCTATATACGTAAGGAGAACCATGAGGTTGAGGCCCAAGATATTGGCTGAGATTCAAGAATGCGTAGAATCAGGAGAATAAACATTTTCACCATCAAATTTATTCTCTTCACATATGCTCTATTCCATTTGTCATTTCTTGAAGGAACTTTTGAATAAAATCTCCTTGAAACCTGTGGATAGTGTATCTTTTGAATATTTAATAATTCCTACTGTACTTTGAACTTTAGCCTGCTGCCTTCCTCAGGTGACATTCCCTCACAGCCTCAGGAGTATTGGCACCATTATTTGCCAATTCTAGTCAGTACCTGTTCCTGAACTATGTTTATTGTCCAGATCAGAGCTGCTTCACTGTTTTCAACCAAGTTAAATACTTGCTAATCCAGTGATTGATTGATGAAAGAGAATTTATTTTGTCTTGGGCAAAATATCTTGAATATAACAATATAA